CGAAGCCAGGAGCCAGGAGCTTCTTCCAGGTCTCCCATTTGGGTGCAGGGGCCCAAGGACTTGGGCCGCCAGCATTGCAGGCGGCAGCTTTACCTGCTTTGCCACACCGCTGGCCCCTATGGAAGCCTTTAGATGACCTACATAAGATTAGCCCCAAGAGTAAAACCAGGAAAGGCCAGCCCACAAACCCTCTACTGTTTGCATAGTAGAGCAACCTGGAAAAAAGGCAGCAGGAAATGCAGGCAGGGAGGGGAAAAAGAAGGGAGAATATAGCTCTGCAGATATAATGCAGCTTGTGGATAAGTGGTTAAAGAAAGAGGTCATTTTACCTCACCGTTTTCTCCTGCTGATTGGCTATTCTGTTTGCAAAACTCTGGCAGTCACTGTGCTAGTACCATTGATTGATCCCCTAGAGATGTTGCATGGAGCACCGTTTTCACAGAGTGAATTTCTCCTTCCCTCATTTGGAAAAGATCAAATTTCTTCAGCACTGACCGCCAGATTTCATTTCTTAAATAACTACCATGAGAATTTGGAGATCAAAATAGAAAATGGAACTGTTTTGTTCTGGAGAGTGTCATCCTTTTTGAAGACCAATTTAGCTTTGGCTCTGGGGTGGGTGGGGTAGAGGAGCACATATAGAGATGTGTTTTGTGGGGTGTGAGTATATGTGCACCTATTTGAGCAGGAAATGGTATGACAGAATGATTCTTCAAGGTGAGAAACAAATAGAAATGGGCATTTAATTAAGCTACCTAATAAAGAGCTGAGGTTGGTTACTTTGGCCATGTTCCTTAGCTAATATGACTCTTATATTCTTACTACAAGAATACCTAAAAATGGATATTTTGAAAGTGCAGTGAATGCAGCATTTCCATGGAAACACAGCAAGGAAATAAAATTCCGTCTGGACAATCTCTGCATAGCAGATGACACCTGCTACAAAGGCCTTGTCCCTGGACAAAGAGAATGAAGACTTAGGTCAGTGCATCTCCTGACACTTTTTCTAGTCCTGCAGGCCAGCAAACAGAGTGGGTGCCCTTTTGGCCTCAAGCAAAAAGAGGACATTTCAAAGTTGACCACAATTTGTACCAGTAGCTGAGGCTCTGGATGCATAAGACAGCCACAGGCACATGTTTGTCACCTCTCTTTATTTAGTAGCTCTTCTCTCTAGATAGGGATATCAAATGTTATTTATGAAAAATGATATTTGTTAGTATTATTTCTGATTATAAATTGGAAATGCTTTAAGGAAACTTGTACAACAGAAAAATATGCAAAAACATGCATGACAATCTTAACTTTTTAGTAGATTTACTTCTATTTTGTATGCTAATATATGATCAAAATTGCAGTAATTCAGGGCATACAGTCTTTATGTACATACTACCACACATGCCCTTCTTCATGTCATTCATGATCTTTGGCAAATTGATTTCAAATGTGTAATATTTCACCATATAGAAGTCCTATTGTCTATTTCATGAATCACCCAACGTAGATCATTTAAGAGGGTCTCTAATCATTCAATATTGTGAATAGCAATGTAATGAAATCGCTAGACTGTTTTAACCCTCCAGACTCCCATCGTTATGAAGAATTCACAAAGCAGGACCAATAGGATTAAACAGACTCTTCAGTCTGCAGAAGAAATGAGCCTCGAGGTTATCTTTTTCATATTTTCTTCTGTTTTCTCTCTGATCCTAATTAGAGTAAACCTTTTGATGTGGGAAGTGGGCAAAATTAAAATTATGAACTTCAGCCTAGGGAGTCATTGGAAGTCTAGGTTAAATCATTTATGAAGATGGATATTCAGTTCCTACTCAGAAATCTCCTATAATGGCAGCTTTCATTCCCTGAAAATTCTGTCCTGTGATGACATGCTATTATGCAGTGGCACTAAGGCAAAAACTCATCAAATTATAGTAGAAAGGAAGCAAGAAAAGGAGGAAAGGAGGAGGAGGAAGCTAGCAATACTTAGGCAAGAAGGATGTCAAACAGCTTTATCAGCAACAGCCAAGGTCATTTAAGCAAAGCTGAGATTTTCCTGCTATTCACTCAATTCACTGTGAAGAGGAAAAAGCAACCACTGCAATTCAAAGAATTCCCTAACAGATTTATAGACTAGTAGACTTGACTACTAATCCTCCTTAAATAAAAAGCCAGAAGTTTGCCTACAGAGTCAAGACTTAATGGACTCAGGATCACATAGGAGTCACACTTAGCCAGGTTTGTGAGGTGGCAAGTCTTGAGAGGTATTAAACAGAATATGGAGAAAATCAAGCCACAGGAGTTCTTTCATTAGAGCCTTCAAGGATTGCTCACTTCTGCCCCCCTAATAATCCATTTCTTCTCGCTATGCAGGAATTAGAGGAAAGCTCCCACCAGCATCCAGTTCCCCCACCCCATCCCCTTTATTTACTTTGTCTGCAAGTTGGAGTCACGGAATATGGTGGATGATGTGGCTGAATGGGCTTTCCTCTCTTTCTTCTCCACTGCTTTTTTCTGTTTTATTTTTCTTAGGAGAGACCACAGCTTCTTGTAGTCAAGTAACCCTGGAAACACTTTGTGTTTCTCAGCTAAAAGCCAACTCTCCATCAAGCCCTGCTTTAGGGCTTAAAAATGTAAAAAGGCAAGAGAAGGAGGAAGAGGAAGAAGAACAAGAGAGAAGAGGAAAAACACAAAAAAAGGACAGAATATGGGTAGCAGTTAAGAGTATGAGTGTAGGAGAAAGTATTTGCTATAGTGGCTAGGCTGCTGCTTGGGGTACCAGCCACCCATATCAGAGAACCTGGGTTCAAGTCCTGGCTCTGCTCCCAATTCTACCTTCCTGCTAAACATGCACCCTGGGAGGCAGCAGTGATGAATCAAGTAGCTGAGTACGTGCTATCCACATGAGACCTGGATTCAAATTCCAACTCCTGGTTTTGGTCTGGCTCAGCCCCGATGGTTGTGCTGTTGTGGGCATTTGGGGATGTGATCCAGTGGGTAGGAGTTTCTGAATCTCTCTCTCTCTCTCCATTTCTCTCTGCCTTTCAAATAAAAAAAATAAATTTTAAAAATTAAGAAAGAGTATACATGTAGTATTTAGGAAGACAGGTAAAATCTTACCTGTACCTATAAATCTATAATCTTAGACAAGTTATTTTCTGAAGTTTCCTCAATGGTATACATGCTTAATGAAATCCATATCATAAGATTATCATGCAGATTACATGAGATAACACATGTAAGAGCCTGGCAAGTAGTAGGTACTTGATAAAGAAAATATACTTAACATGTGCTGAGTGGCTACAAGAAGCCAAATGTTATTCTAGGTTGATAATCTATACCACTTTAGGCTTAATTTTCATTATTATTAATCATTATCAACATCAAATAAAGAAGAAGAGAAGGAAAAGAGAAGAATCTTGAATTCACGTTAGAATCATTAAGGGCCTTAGAACTGCCAAGTCAAACTGCATAATCTTACAGATGCAAGAACCGACAGCCACAGGGATGAAGTGATTTGCACAGGATCATTTGGCTCTTAGCAGTATCCAGACTAGATTCCCAGGTACAGGAGGTAGGAGATGTAGGTAGAAAGGGTTCCTGGATGTTGTGGGAGGGGTAATTCCATGAGAACTGACCTTGCCCACCACCACCTCAGGCAGTCAGCACCCCATCCCACCCCGCCCCAGCCCTCAAGAGGAGTGTGACTCCTGTTCTTTGGTGCTCTGCTCCGTCATCCACAGGCTCGTAATTAAAAGGGAAGAGATATGCCTTTGGTTTCTGAGACCATCATTAAGAATCCAGTGAGCCACAAGCAAGCAGGCAAGCAAGCAGGAAACCCTGGATTACTGCTAAGCCCCTTGCTCTACAGACACTCATCAGAGAATGCTGTGGGTCCCGGGAAGAGGAACCTGAGCCAGCCTCAGGGAGCTCGTCAGCGCTTCATCTGCCTGGGGAATCTCAGCTTAGGGAACATTATCTTTTCTCTGATAGGCACTGTGATGATTCACATTCATTCCCACAAAGTGTCAGAAAAGCCTGTGAAGTGGTAATAACCAGGCTTCTTAATGCATTCCCAATATCAAAAATCAACTTAATTAAGTAGGGTTATTTTTTTTCCTGAGCAGCAATCACACTTTAATTAATACTCTATTAAAATGAATTCTAGGGGGAACAGAAGCATGCACACACCTAATGAGTTCCTCTGCCAAGGGCGTTATTACAGAGGCTGTTAAATGGGCCCCTCACTGGCCACACACTCCATTTCAGTGCCTATGTTCATCAGAGTTGGAAAGCAACCACGGGTCTGCATCCTCCACCTCTCCATAGCCCTTTGCCCTGCTGGACATGCAGTATCACCCATCCTCCTTGCTGTTGCCACTTGGAGAACAATTCAGACAGGGATTGAAATCCAGCTGACCTGCGCCCTCATGGGGTAGGGAGAAACCTCCAACCTCTTCCTTCCCTGTCCCTACCCCCGAACCAGGCAAGGTGAAGACTATCTGTAACATCACTCTGCTGTAGACCACCATTAAGACAGCAGAATCCCCCACTGAAAAAAACAAAACATAGAACACATTTGTAAACTCTGTGTGCCCCTTGCTGGTAGCAAAGAAAGCTGATTAAAGTTCTAGGGCACTGAAATTGGGAGAAACTAGGTGCGGGGTGGAAAGAGTCAGTGTTTTTCTATTTCCTCTTGCATTGACTATTTCTAAGACAGGGGCTCCAAGATTTCTCCAGCTGTAGACAAAATGCTCTTCCAGACCCCCCAACCTCCCCCATACCACCACCACCTGCTCTCATGGCCCCTGTCCCCACTAGGGATTATGGCAGGGAATTCCTTCCCATTCTGATAGAGATCATGCAGTTTTGGGGAGCTGACTGTTAGGATCACAGCTTCAGGAGGTGAGTGACATCCAGTCCCAGGATGGGGTCAGGCATGGGGACCATTATACCAAAAGGCTAACCTGACCTCTGCCAGGGCCCAACGCCCTCTCCCCAGCCCTTACCTCCTTGGTGTGCGTGTGGAAGGAGACGGACATGTCCAGGAGAACCTTGCGCTGCTCCACCCGGCGTACAAAGTCTTGGATGCGCACCTCCAGGTGTCGAGCTGCCTTGTAGATCTCCTCCGGGTCACATTCCCCCGTCTGAGCCAGCTGCTCTGCTGCTTCTAGGAGCTTGTCCGCGTTGGTGTAGGTATTCTGCCAGCAACAACAGTGAGGCAACGTCAACTTGCAGTCAGGAAACGAGCTTCGCGCCTTCCCGCAGCCCACCCTGGGGCTCCCCCGGGTTGGCGCAGAGGGGCGTGGGCGCGAAGCCGACAGCTCCCTGGTCTGGCACCGAGGCACTGCACGCAGGGCTGGCACAATGCCTCGCAGCAAGCTCGCAGCCTGCCCGGCTGCTCGGCACAAGCGGGCACTAGCCAGTTGCCTTGGCTCCTCCAGGGACTTCTCAGAGGCGCAATGTGCCTGGGAAGAAGCAGGCAGGTCTGCGAGAAGCTCCATGCCCCGTCTGCTGCCTGTCCCCAACCCTGAAGAGGAACCATCATTGCCCTCACATCTCAGGCTGCAACTGCCGGAGTGGGAAACAGCACATCCACACGGAGGGCTGGCTTCTGTGTGAGCACACCGGGGAGACTAACTGAGAGACTTTGCTTTTCCCAAGTCCCATCACCGCTGGTGTTTATCTTTTGGAGCAGAGCTATCTCTGGAGGGGGAAGGGGTCAGCCACTCCATGGAGCTGACACAGGAAGTGGCCACAGCCAGAGGGAGGTGACGCATGCTATTCCCCCAGAGACCAGTGAGGGCTAAATGCCTTCAGGGAGATTGGGGAGGAGTCTGGTGCCCACACACATGAACATGCACACACACATACACACACACAGTCTCCAACCTCTGCTATACACACTGTGGTATTCTCTAGAACATTTTAAAAGGAAACTAACTTGCAATTACTATGCATCAGGATGGGACTCACTATCATTATAATAGTTATTACATTATATGTCATGGTTATAATTTTTCCTTAGCAGGCTTCTCTTTTTTTAATTTTTAAAAAATATTTATTTATGTATTTGAGAGGAGAGTTACAGACAGTGAGAAGGGGAGACAGAGAGAAAGGTCTTTCATCTGCTGGTTCACTCTCCAAAGGCCACAATGGCTGGAGCTGTGCTGATCCAAAGCCAGGAGCCAGGAGTTTCTTTGGGGTCTCCCATGTGGGTGCAGGGGCCCAAGGACTTGGGCCATCTTCTACTGCTTTCCCAGGACATAGCAGAGAGCTGGATTGGAAGAGGAGCAGCCAGGACTAGAAATGGTATCCATATGGGATGCTGACGCCACAGGTGGAGGATTAACCCCCTGCGCCACAGTGCCAGTCCCAGCAGGCTTCTCTTTAAAAAAATCTCTCCTGACATATCCTATCTTAGAGCTGGTGATGCTAGTGTTCATATATGTCTTGATATCCCTAAAGTCAGCAGAGCACCCTACACAGTGGTGAACAAGTGCTTGGTGTTGAGGCTAGGACCCCAGAAGCAGAAGAAGTCAGTATCAAATACAAAGTGAGTGGAGAAATAAAATGGATTTGTGGCCAGTGGCTGCACAGTGCTTTGTTTCGTCCATGGAGATATCTCCACGGAGTTTTGGGGATTTACCTGAAGACGGGTTTTAGAGGCTAAATTGTTTCCACCCCCCACATTCACATTTTAAAGTACTAATCCCCAATATCTCAGAATATGAGCTTTTTGTATATAGGGTCACCGCAGACATAATTAGTTACATTATTAAGTTAAATTGGAAAAAGGCAGACCTCAAATCGACGGTGACCAATGTCCTTATATAAAGAATACCATGTGAAGAGACAGCCACACACAGAACAACAACATGTGAAGGTGAAGACAGTGATTGAGAGATGTATCTACAAGCTAAAGGAGGCCAAACATGGCCAACAAACTGCCAGAAGTTAAGAAAAGGCATGGAGCAGACTTCTCTTTCATATCCCTCTGACAGAAGCAACCCTGATGAAGCCTTGATCCTGCACTAACCAGCCTTCAGAACAGTGAGACAATACGTCTGTTGTTGAAGCCACCCAGTCTACAGTACTTTGTTACAGCAGACCTGGGGAAGGAAAACCCTGGGGTTGAGCCTTTCTGCTCACACAGCCTCTTGATGGTACTAGCACAGACCTGGAGATCATGGGCAGGTGGTCAGCAAACACTTGTCCAGGCCTTGAGGAATCCTGAGAGATGCCTCAGGAGATCCCTAAGGAATGCTGCCTGAAATGCAGCTGTCCAAGGCAAACACTGTCCCAGTGCTGGCAAGATGGGGTTGAAGGGTTGAGGGCCAGGTTAGGGATTGTTTGTAATTTCTAGTAAACATACCCATAGCTGATGGGAGAAAACTCATTAGGAATCCCTCAAATCTTCCACTTTATACTCTAAGGAATCTCAGGAATCCTCAAAGAAAATCACTGGTTGTCTTCTTATTTTCTAGACAATTTGTGCTAAAGTAAATGTGGGCTTGCTTCAAGTTAGGTTTGAGTCCAATAAGAGATAAATTCAAAGCAAAACTGAAACGCCTACTACATCTAGGTGCCCAATTTGTCCCATTCTAGATTTTCCTGGGTTAGCACAGCAAGTCCTATATTCCATAAACCCTTCCAGTCCTGGGAAAGTTGGGATGAATGTTCCCCTAATGTAGACTCACCACGTATAAAACAGATTCTGTCCCAAAGGGAAAAGTCATCCTTGAGGGAGTTAACATAATGACACATGAAATGGGTATGCAACACAATAATAGATGATGAAAGGTTAAAGTTTCTTGACATGATATAGCTGCTCAGAAGAAAATGAATAGAACTGGATATAATAATGGCCAAAAATTACTGCATTTTCATATACCAAGGACTCTTCTAAAGGCTTTTATGTCTATTATCACTTTTTTCCTCACAATTACCCTATGAAGTAGATGCAGACATTTAACCCATTTTATAGATGAAGAAATAGAGGGACAAAGAATTTCTGGTCAAGATCCTGTGTTGGATAAATGGTAGAACCAGCATTAAAGCTTTATTGTTCAGCTTCAGAACTCAAGCTCCAAGCCATTACACTGCCTTTCATTTTCCAGGATATAGGCCTGAGGATGGGTAGGGTTTAGCAAAACAGTAGGAGTGTAGGACTCTCATTTTTTTTTTTTTTTTTTTTTTTTTGCGCCCAGAGTACTCAGTGTCGAGATCAGACTACAGCCACTACCACAACCTCATAGTAACCATGTGTGTCCATGGGCTCTCCCTATTGGTCTAGGAGCTCCTTTAAGGTAGGTTCTATGTCTCATTCATCTATTTGGTTCTTTCCTGGTAGAAATTGTGGCTGGGGCACCACAGGCTCTCTACATGTGGATTGAAGGAACAAGATACAGAGAAGAGAATGAGCATGGCATGTTTGGATAAGTTGAGCCAACCTGAACTTGCAAAGTGGAAGGAAATCAGGTTGGATAAGGAAGGGAAGAATTAATGATAGATTTTTATAGCGATAAAGGTATAATAAAGATAGGTGGGAGGGTCTGGGGTCCCTGCTCCATCTATTGCCAAGCTTTCCTCCTATTACTATCAGGAAGGTTTCTTTAAAACTCAGAACCAGTCACATCTCTCTACTACTTAAACCTGTTCTGCAACTTCCCACTCCTTTGAGGGAAAAATGCATGAACATACCATGCAAGGCACTTCTGATTTTACACTTCAGCCTCACATTGCTCCCCTACAAACAGCGTGTGAAGTAAATCACTTACATTCCCAGAAACTCATTGCACTGAACCTTGCCTCTGTGCCACTGCACATACTTCCTTCTGTCTGGGTTGCCCTTCCCTGCACTTGTATACTTGATTGACTGAAAAACAACTTTTAAAACCAGTCCTGGCATCACCTCCTTCAGGAAGTCCACTCTTATGCTCCCTTCTCTTCCAAGGATCCCAGAGTGGTCTTTACTGACCCCTCCATGACACTTGTCATATTCTAAAGTAAATGTTTGCTTTTCTCATCCATGTTCTATTAACCTCTTTCTCTGAGTGCCTGGCACCAAGTAGTGCTCTATAAATATTTAATGAATGAATTAATAAATTAAATAATACATCAATCCTCACTAATCCTAATATTCAACTCTTGGTCCTCATCAACTACCCAGTACAAGACCTTACATGCTGGAATTCACATTCAGTCCCATTTGATTTATCCTATCTCCTGGCATATCCTTAAAATAAGAATGTGCTTAGAGAATATCAACTACCTATTACCAAAGCAATTTGTTGACCTCTGTCACTGCTACTAAATTTGGGCAAGGATCATAACAGACTTCTTATCTTCTCACCAAACCAATAATGGCTTCTGTCGCAGGGCCAGAGTCTGACCTCATTCTGAGTATCATTCTTAGGCATTCATTGGTTTCCCAGCCTCTTAGACCCTGCCATGGACTTTGGGCTCTTAGCTATATGAGAAATCTTCAATAAATTCATGGAAAATGCATGTTCTGAAAAATTATGCATGGATTTCAAAAATTTTACACCAGAATAAATGTACCTTTTAATTTTTTTTCTTTTTGAAGTACCCTTCTATTTCCCAACTGAAATGCCAAAAATGGGTTATGAGTGCTGGGATAGTGACATTTCTGCCACTGGGGTTTTTAGGCAAGACCTACAATAGCCAGAGCTCCAGAATCAGAAATGTGGACTGCAGCTCCTGTTATTCCCTCCTGTACGCCACACCCCTGTGCCAAGCAGTGGAGATGTCCTAGATAATCTGGGCTGTAAGTTTAACTTCAACCTCCCATGGTAGCCTTAAGATATTGCTTTTTTTGTTTGTTTGTTTTCTCCTCAGGGAAAAAGGAGAACATTCTAGGATAATTTGTCTCTAAAAATATAGGAATCCCAGCAACATAGGTATGATTTCAGACTCCCAGAGCTGGATCAGAGGGGCAGGGAGCAGGCTATTTAAAGGCAAGGGTGGGAGAAAAAGTGAATAAAAACATCTCTGGAGTCCAGAGTCAGCTTGGTAAAAGGAGTCAGCACCTTGGCCCTGTGCCCTGGGGGTAAGGAAAGGATGAGGTCCAGAACCCACACTTGTTATTCAAGAGTCAGTTTGGACTGGAGAACAGGGCTATCAGAGGAGCAGGAGCTAACCTCCTCCCAAGGCCCGCAGGATCGGAACAAGAGGTCGT